TTAAGTTTTGCCCCTCTTGTGTGAGTCTTGCCTTGGGATCCATGAGTTCCCTCTGAACTTGGACACATAAGGGCTAGCCCTTCCACATTGCACTCATCTCTATCTGGTTCTGCAAACTTAGGTATAAGCACTGCCCGGGGCCCTTTGAGACCCTTAGGGAACTCTAACACACCAGGTCTAATAAAGGCTTTGAAATATGGCATTTTGAGGTGGTTTATTCCCTAACTCAGAGAGGAAGTCAAGAATCAGGCTTCCTCTGGTTGTAACTTCTTCTTTTGTTTTACTTTTAATGTAATTCATTATTTCTGGTTTGTAATAATTCGTAATAAACACTCGGGGTTGGCTAGTGGAAATGGGATGGGTAATTATGCATGCTCAAGGGTAGAAAACATGTTCATAGGATTTGTGTTCTGAATGATTCAATTCTGCATTTTAGAAAGCATGTCTATAGGACTGTTTTAAATCCTGCATGTTCAATTATGCATTTAGACATCATGTCTATAGGATTTATTATAAATTCTGCATGTTCGACTCTACACCTAGATAATCTGCCTATAAGACTTGTTTGAAATTCTGCACGTTTGTTACCACTTAGACACCATGCTCTAGGATCTAAACGGCTATAAGCAGATCTCGTGTTCATAATGCATAGAAATCATGCCTATACGAATTTCCAAGTAAAATCCTACCTGTTTCCATTCCACGTTCATTTAGATATCATGTCTATAGGGGATAAAACCAGCATTTAGATATCATGCCTATAGGGGTAACATCATTCAACTAGATATCATGCCTATAGGGGTTAAAATCAACAATATTAGATATCATGTCTATAGGAATTAAAATCAGCAATACTGGATACCATCGTCTGCAGAATCTGAAACTAGTGTAATTTAAAAATCAGTTTTTAGTCTGAACTAGTAATAGACACCATGTTCATAAGATCTCACCCCAAACACTTAGGCAAGCATTAGGTAATAACAACAAATAAAACTGATCCCGTTTCTATTAACTAGTAATTAATATAACCAGCAGACAGGCCTGACTCGGACTTCTTATCTGGTTATGTAATAAATTGGTCTGCTTCAACAACTTAAAATCCCCTTGCCTTAGTATTTTAGATTCAAACCTTGATTGTTGTTTGATTTATGCTATTTGATTGCTTTGTTTGAGGAGGTATACATAAGCCTTCAGTGTTTTATGTGTTTCCTCCTTTTAATGTGCAGTCCTATGTGTTTTGTATGTCGCCTTAGTTTTTTTTTCACCTTTGAAACTTCAAAGTCAGCCTAATATCCCTCCCTTTTTAAGAATAGTAGTCCTAAGTGCCTCCGGGACTGATAGGTAGGACGGGTAATATCATGCAATAGTGGTCGAGACCAATCCGCGCTTTAGTACCTTAACGGAGTGAGAAGGGTAGATATGGATATGATGACCGGTGCGCTAATACCACGTGTAGCCCCTCTTTTGATGAGTGATTACCGGGTATTGCATTGATGTGATCCATATTATAAATAAACCTAGGATCCCCCCCCCCCCCTCTCCCTCTCTTTTTTTTCCTTTAAAGCATTGTAACTTCTTTTCAGATAATCAGCCTTTTGAATGATTGCTTTTTTTTAAAACTTTGTCTTACTTTCAAATACTTGTGTATTAAAATCCCCTCTTATTTGAGCCTTATTTGTTTACCTGTTGATTGCACAAATTCACAAAGAACTGTCTGGCCGGGAACCACACTAGTGCATCCCGAGGGGTGCCTAAGACCTTCCCCTTAGGATAATTTCAAGCCATTACCCTATCTCTGGTTACCAAACAACTTAGAAATGAACCTTGTTGGTGTCCTAATGCACCTTAAATCATTAGGTGGCGACTCTTCAAATGCAAAACCCAGTTCCCAAAAGGAACGAGCTGTCATATACCCAAAAAATGTCATAAACCCGATCTCCCGATACAACGAGGGAAAAAGGGGGCGCAACACTCAACACATGTGCCAATAATCAAGCCGTCGAACAACCCACATGGCACTATAGAGTATTACATGAAATAGCTGACAACAAAAATAACATACAATGCCCAAATACTCCTCCATAAGAAATGCTATGTTGAATGAAAACACCCGACCTGGTGTATAGCACACATTCACATTTAGACCCATCAACAGAACTCAAGCCAATTCTAATCGTACCGTACTGGGCTAATAATCTTTCAAGGATGCATAATAAACCTTTTCCATGACACATAAGAACAACCGTCAAATCCGAAAAAACAGACTCGGTCCAGAGGCCAAGGAATGGAATGCCTCTCAGGCATAAACTCTCGCATTTGCGATATTACCATAACCTCCATACTAGATTTCAATCTTTAACAATCAAGTGACTAACATGTGACACTTATATAAATCTCCTCGTGGGGTATGCTCCCACGAGCTTCTGCTTAGGTAGCAAAGTCCGCACAATCATACCACCAACCGTTCTAATTCTGTAAAGCGAATAAAAAATCCGCAAGTCAATACACAAAGCCTCTTTCACAGAACACCATTCTCAGGTGACATTAAAGAAAAATGCCAGCTTACTCTGAAGATCTGAATTCACCCCTGCTCATATGAGCTCGTGACATTCTATCAACACCAAACCGCAATCTTGATCTTCAATTTCCAGTTCCCATGCCGCTCCCTGTACCTATCATGCCGCTACGCAATAATACACGTATTCACCATAAGCTTCAAACTACTAGTGGAATAACCACTTCATTGGCGAGAAACCTTTCACTTAGCCCGTTTCAGAAGAACCAGCGCAACATGAAACTAAATTCTCAAACCGTAGAAAATACAAACCTCAAGTCGTGATCTATGCCACCATAACTCTTCCGGGATCCATTTACACAATAAAGCCATTTGAATCAAATACCTCCCAAATCAACCAAGTGGTGGTGGCGCTCAAGCCCAAGTGTACAACCGCAAACTACATGTATAACTTCACGCTAAAGAAACTGATCAGTGCCATAATCATACTAATTCAATCATTACTAACCGACCCAGCTTCTTCCAATTTATTCTCAATTTGCCTTAGAAATAATAATAGCTCCATTCAAACATAACAAACTAAATTTGCACTCATCCCGAGTGACCCACCTCACGAGACCACATCATCTCATTATCATGAATCATCTCATATTCTCTTTACGTGCACATTAGCATCTCTAACTAGTACACCCATTCTGCAAGACCTTCCGCGAATCTAAAGCTATTCCTTCCTTTCCTCCAATACTACACCGTATACCCAATGATAACATAGATATCTCATGTCCTTAGGCGCTGCTTAAATTCTTGAACCCACTAGGACCACTGTTGAGACTCACCCACTCTAACTTGGTCCCGAATATTAGCCAAACTCTAGTGCTTTGCTAGCACGTGTACACCCTATCAAAGAAGCACCCGACTGAATTTTTTTCCTTGTACATTACACCTACTAGAAACATAAACTCAAAGTCTTCCCAAAACCTGAACATCAATCGATAAGGCCCAAATATAGAATGCATTCCTCAAATCCTTTGCTTGAATTACCACTGATGTTTTCTATCCATAATCATAATAACCAATACATCGATAACCGGAAACTGCACAAGAAGATAACCACGCGATCCAATTGTAGACGGTGGGGCTCCCCCACTTAGCTTGAAGCTACAATTACATAACCCCTGGACCCACAACCATTCCTTCTTTCTCATCAACATCAACTGAAAGTACAACAATGCATTCAAATCTCGAAGTCATCTTGCATCCAAATAAAATCTGTGGACCTAGTCACTGTCCATCATGACTCCTAAATTGCTCTAAAATTTCCTCAAGGCATGTGGCTATCCTACAACAGAACCTATATGCTACTCTGTCACACTCCCACTTTGAGTAAACCTTCTACATTAAGCAACTTTTTGATCTTTGCTTTCAATACTTGACCTACTAGCAATTCAATCACCGTGAGACACCTTCCCGCCATGTCCTTCCTCATCATTCGCTGCCCAAATACTACCTCAAAGAAAAATCCATTGCTGGAGCACCTGATCATAAATTGCTACAAACTGTAAGCCTCCTACAAGATCATCTTTCTCGAGCCATCAACAATAAAAACATTGATTTGATCCCGAAACAGCTATACACCGCTGTCTCTGGCAACCGCTTCTCAGGCACCATTTCACAATGCCCTGCCCCAAAGGAAGAAGACAATAACACCGGTGAACTTTAATGCATTTAACAAAGACAACGACACTACATCACAATTAAGAATTCCACCATGCCCGAAAATACCAAGTCTTGTCACTTCGTCAACCAAACCTGGACATCAATAGTCCGTTAAATGCTAAACCTCCGAATCATGCACTGAGAAGAACCTCCTTTCAAGTCTTTCACTACGTCGGCACATAAACGAGCACCCTACTATTACATCAATATTGTGAGATAACGACTCATGAACAACAAAGTTACCTGTGCATAGCCTTAAAACCATCAGAGATACAGGTACTGAGTTGAAATAACAAAACATCCTTCTGCATGAGAACAATAATAACTTGCTTGAATGAGCAGGGAGAAACATCCTGCCCCACGTATGTAGTACCACTACAACTCCTTGGTGCTCAATCGACACGAGCGCTCAACATCCTATACGAATGAGTAAGAAAGAAGTAAAAGCATAAATTACATGATGAGGAATCAAGAAGGGAAGTGCTCCTAACAGCCCTGTAATCTCTCGAAAATAAGTACAGACGTCTACGTACTAATCCGTAAGACTCTACTAGACTTGCTCATGACTTGTGAGACCTAAGTGAACCTAACGCTCTGATACCAAGGTGTCATGACCCAAAATCCACTATTGGTCATGATGGCACCTAACACGCCGTCAGGTAAGCCAACATTGATTTATCAATTTATTTACTAATTTTAGTATTTTTGAAATCGTAATTTTTCCTTAATTTAACAGTATATCATAGAATTTACAAAATGAATAAAAATATTAACATGTACCACAATAATGATTAACCCGAAGAAAATTCCCAAAACCCGGTGTCACAAGTGCATGAGCATCATCTAAGAAATATGATAAAATACAACCTCTGTCTTGAATACAAATTAGATAGGAAAATGTAAATAACTTTGATAGAAACTCTGTATGTTGCGGATTCGTAACATGGAATGCAACTCACCGTAAGTCCCGCAAAAGTCGTGCCTCTGCGCCCAAAAGATCACTAGACATATGTACCTTCACAAAATGTGCAACAAGTGTAGTATGAGAACGTAAATCAATGCGTACCCAGTAAGTATCAAGTCTAACCTCGAATAAGTAGTGACGAGAGGTCGATATCGACACTTACTAAAGGTCCAATAGAGCAACATAATAAAAGCGTGAGCATATATGAAGCATACAAAAGTAATGGGGTAAATCTGTAAGTTACATAGTCTTCCAAATATTTCCTTTAAAGCATGAATTTATAAATCTTGTATTCTACCATAACAACTCAGAAAAATGTCGACTGTCATTATCAAACAAATAAAGAATACCATAAAATGCTGGGCATCATTGGAAAGATTTGCTCGTGAATATTCGGGCTACTAACGATACAACACACGATTTTGTTGAGGTCGTTCGGACCGATCCAGAATAATGTGTACACTTCCGAGGGTCTGAGGGGCACGAACCATAGTCATCTATACTGTCGAGGCGTTCAGCCCGCTCCACAAGAAAGGAGAGCACTTTATTAACCTCCGGAATGAGAACCTATCACAAGGCTAACACACAAGGATCTAAATTTTCTATTAACGGTCGAGTAACTCGCACAAAAATTCAAGTACGTGAAATTTCGATCTTTTACTATTTCCTCTAACAATTTCCAATATGATTCAGGTACTTTAATTAACAAAGGATGCAAACTTTACAAGTAATTCATGATTTGGGTCTTAAAACTATCCGGACATAAGTATAATTAGTAGCTACGCACGGACTCTTTTCACCTCGTACTTATGTAGCCCCCAATTAGAAGCAAACAATAATTTACACCTATGGGGTGAATTCTCTCTTACAAGGTTAGACAAGAGACTTACCTCGTCTTAAACCCCACTTTCCGGTCAATTTTTTTTTCTAAAGCCCCGACTTGGTGCCAATCAATCCGAAACTAATCAAAAAACGTGCAAAATAATCAAAAATATACTCCAATGCTTGAAATTTAACAATTTATAAAAATTCCCAACTCCACTCGAAAAGTTGGCAGTGGGGTCCACGTCACAGAACCCGGCGAAACTCACAAAATCTGATAACCCATTCAAGTACGAGTTCAACCATACCAATTTCTTTCAAATCCAACTCTGAATTGGTATCCAAATCTCGAAAATTCGTTTTGTGAAGTTATAAATTTTTCTTCCGATTTTTTCTTGAAAAATCAATAATCTAACACTGAAAATGAAGATTAATCCATGAAATATAATCACAACTGAAATTCCTCTCCAAACTCGCTAAATCTAGAGGTTCCTAACTAAAAATACGAAATAATGGTTCAAAGGTCCGATATAGAGGACTTACAACACTGCCCCGACTTCCTTCATTGCGTTCGCGATGAACAGAATTCTCAAAAGTCATTTTCAAACTCTTCTCAGATAGCCTCTAATATAATGGTCATAACTTTTTCTACAAAACTCCAGATGATAAATAGTTTGACATTCCGAAAACTAGACACCAAGATCTACAACTTTTCTGTTCTGGTCATCTCCAAATTCCCTATAGATGTCGAGATATAAGTTGCCAAAGTCAGCCCTATGCAACACAAATTTCTTCTTCGCGATTTCCAAACATCTTTCCAGACAGCCTGTAGTGTACCAACTGTCACACATCCTTTTTTACACCTCGAAAGGTATAAGGGAGTTTATTCCAATTTAAGTGACATTATTCGAAATGGGATTATTTAATTAATCAGAGTCGCCACTTGGAATAAATTATGGTGTCCCAAGTCACCGCTTTATTTTAAACCCCAAATTGAGGAATTTTTTTTTTAAAGAGCCTGCGAACCAGAAATTCTAGATAAGGAATTTTTTTAACCCGGGAGAAGGTGTTAGGCATTCCTGGGTTCCGTGGTTCTAGCACGGTCGCTTAGTGATTTATACTTGGCTTAAATTGTTTAACTACTCATTTTTAGGACCTATGTGCATTTACCTTTTACCGCTTTTAATTACTTGAATTATTCGTAATTAAAGAATTGAGTTACGCGTACGTATACTCTTTTCTTTTGGCGCGTCAAAAATCATGTCACGCGAACGTGTCCACAATTAATAACGCTTTGTTTATTTTATTAAGAAAAGTTTAGTTGAAGTTGCGCGAACGCATCTCTCGAGTCATTTTAGAATTAAATTTGCAATTACGTTACGCGAACGTATACATAATCACAATACTAATCTAAATCGAGCCTAAAGCACACTACGAATGTTCATAAATTAATTATTCCCTAAGGTTCAAGAAATCTTTTGGCAATTTAAAAAATTGACAAGTTATCCTCATTTAAAGATATTCACAAATTACTACCCTATCCTTGAAATATGAAACAATTATCTACTATAAAGAGTGGGCTAACTACTCTATTGATTAAAGGGAAATTACCAGCTATGTCCATTTATAAGTTGCTCATTACAAAAATTGGTCAATTGATAAAATATTATTAATATTAGCCAAATTAGCCAATTAGCTATTTGTACCAAAAAATATCAAATTTTTGCTTTCTTTTGAGTGGGTGTTATTAGAATAGATTGGGCACAACTTAAGGAACTTGAATCTCAGTTTTGGGATGATTTGGTAAAGTTTTGAGGTGGTTTGAATTGAAAATTCGAAGTAAAAGCTGAACATGAAAAAAAATGATATGTGTATCACATTGTGTATCATTTGTGTATCACATATGTATCATATTTGTATCAACTGTGTATCACATGTATATCCATGTATACATGTGTGTGTGATACATGCGTGATACATGTTTGATACTTGTGTCGCAGAAGACTTTTTTGAACTCGATTTAATTACGAATTTTGATACAAAACCAGTCCAAATCACCTCCGATCTTCCTCAAATTTTGTATACTGACTTATCTATATAATTTCAATGAATTTCAACTATACCCATTGAAAAAATTCCTTTTTTGTTTAGATTTTTGGAATATTGTATAGATTTTTGTATTTCATCACCTTATTTGCTACCCCGTCCATGAAATTTCCTTTCCGACTTTTATCTAATGTTGCTAATCACGCTTAAAAATATGGAAGGTGATTTTTGCATGTGATTCTTTGAGAGAAAGAACCCTATTATTTGATTTTTCAATTTTTATTGGCTAGTTTTAATAAGTCTATGACTAATGGCTAGAAGTTGGTAAGTTGAGATTTATTAGGGACATTTGTGTAAGTTTCCCTTGATTAAATTCAATGAGGCCACCTTGTTCGGCCTAAAAGCTTTCGAAACAGTCCAAATCCTCATTCAACCAACACGGCCCATTTTGACCTGTACAGTAGGTTAATATTACAGAAAACAAATAAAACAATAATTTAAAATCTACAACAACAATTAAACCTGAAGCAAACGGGGTCAGCTATACTAATTAAATTATGAACATCACCTCTTGTCATGAACTTTGTTGTGTAGCATTTCAAGTTTATAAAAACGCAACTTAGCCATATAATTACCAGATTCAGAAACATAATGTTGTATAATTAAGCCAATCGTTGAAATGATTACAATTAGGTCCAATTCTATTGTTTTTATTAACAAATAGCTCATTCCCTCTTTAAGCAGACTACAAAAGCGCTGTCTCAAACAAAAGGAAACACGCTCAACAATCGAACTAAATGATAGCGGAATTTAATCAACAATAAATCATCAGTACGATTAAACACAAAATATCGCAATAAACTTCACACCAAACCAAGCCAACAAGGACTATACTATTCGTATAAATCTGAACTTTGGGTTCCACAACAAGAAAAATGATAAGCGAACAAACATACCCGGAAATGGAACTCCGCAAATCAACAGTACAGCAGCAACACTTGGGTCTTAACATTTTTTGTGTGAGTGAGGGTGAGAGATGAGCTTAAGGGTAGTCGGATTTTATGTTGTTTCCGGTCGGATCGGAGTAGCGACGACAGAGACAACGACAAAGAGATGGACAGCAGCCCAAATATCCATAGGTCGCTGAAGCTTAGGAAAATGGGGTCTAATCTTTGATGGGGTGAGGAATTTGTTCGATGGTGTCTTGGTTGTGAAAATGAAGAAGCAGCAGCGTTTTCTTTTCTTCTGGTGTTCAAGAAAAATGGGGTCTTCTTTTTGTTCACAGAAAAGAGATCTGGAGCGCCGTTTTCTTGGTATTCTTTTGCTAAGGGTCTAAGTCTAGATTTTAATTGGAGGGTATGTGTTTTGGGTTAATGGGTTTAAATGTATTTGGGCTAGTTAGGAAAATTTCGACCTAATTTGGGTACAAGAACTAGCTCAATATCCAATTAAATTTTTTTTTCTTCAAATTCTTTTTCTTATCTTTCTTTTTCTTTTTCTTTAATTAAAAATTCTAAAATTAAAATCCTAGGTTATCTAAAAATGTGGAATTAAACTAATTACAAAGATTATAAAAGCTATTTAATCCTAAATTAAAAGAGAAAAAATCAATAAAAGGAAATAGTGTAAAAATGAAGCAATTTTTTGTGATTTTCAATTTATTATAAAACAAGTAACTACCAATTGATCCTAAGAATGTAAAAATAAAGCCTAAATGTCATGCATGATATTTTTGGTATTTTTTATGATTTAAATAAAACTCAAACATGCACAAAATGCAAATAATTAAATAAAAATCTACAAAAATTTCTAAAATGGCCGATAATTAACAAAAAAATCTATTTTCTTGGGATTTTATAGAAGTATTTCGTATATGGCAAAAATCACGTGCTTACACCAACCATAACTTTTTGTACAGAATTTCAATTTTCAAATGGTTTGGTTTTCTAAAAACTAGACACAAAGGGCTACAACATTCGCTTTTGGATCATCTCTAAATTCCTTATAGATTACGAGATATAAGCTTCCAAAGTAGGACAACGCATAGTAGGAATTCTTTCTTCGCGAATGCGAGAATCTCTTCGCGTTCGCGAACGCGAAGAACAAAGTCCTAGCAGCAAAATCCTTCTTTGCGAACGCGGGAGGCTCTTTGCGAACGCGAAGAACAACACCAGACATCAGAAAACCAGCATCCAAAGTAGCCCAAAATGATTCGATAACACCCGAAACACACCTGAGGCCTTCGGGACACCAACCAAGTATACCAACAAGTCCTAAAACATCATACGAACTTAGTCGAGGCCTCAAATCACATATAATAACGCTAAAAATACGAATTGCACCCGAATTTAAGCCTAATGAAACTAAGAAATTCTAACTTATACTTTCGATGCCGAAACCTATCAAATCAAGTCCGATTGACCTCAGAGTTTGCACACAAGTCATAAATGACATAACAGACCTATTCCAATTTTCAGAATTGGATTTCGACCATGATATCAAAAAGTCAACTCCCGATCAAACATCCAAACCTTCCATTTCCAACTTTCGCCATTTCAAGCCAAAATCAACTACGGACTTCCAAATAAATATCCGGACACACTCATAAGTCCAAAATCACCATACGGAACTAGTTCCAGGCTCAGTAACCCAAACAGACATTGATAATATTAAAATACACTTCAACCCAAAATTCATGAAATTCTTCCAAAATGCCAACTTTCCACAATAAGCGTCGTAACGCTCCCGGGTCATCCAAACCCCGATCCGGACATATGCCCAAGTCACAATCATCATACGAACCTATAAGAACCTTCAAATCCCGATTCCGAGTTCGCTTACCTAAAAGTCAAACCTTAGTCCACTCTTCCAACTTAAAGCTTCCGAAATGAGAATTTTCCATCTGAATCAACGCGGAACTTCCCGTAATTTAATTCCGACCACACGTGCAAGTCATAATACCTGATGTAAAACTACTCATTACCTCAAACCGCTAAATGACATGCTAGAGCTCAAAACAACCGATCGGGTTGTTATAATCCAAGCCTCTAAACATGATTAATATGTATCATTTTGAAACTTGTCATTGCTTGCGAGTTTTTACTGTCTAACACATACATATTGTGAACATTAATTATTTTATTTTTTAAGAGGTTGTTACATTAATATGGGGTACATGCTCAACATATGTACACTAAGACTAGTTATATTAAAAGTACGATGCCCCTTAATATCGTTCGTCTTTTCTTATCCTTTAAAAATAAATTTTACTCTAAACAAATAAAGTAATTAATTATTTTTTAATATTTAGGAATAATCATCTAATTATTTTTTCCAATATTTAGTACTTCGAAATCAATTAAATCATTCCTTTAAGTTCTTCCTTCTCTGAACTATGTAATATAACAGATTTGTAAAAGAAATAACGAAAACGCAAGAAGCCCCTTAACGAAAATATTGTTCGCTTTTTTTACTCTTTAAATTTCATATATTAGATTCTGCTTTGTTTGAAATAAATTTCAAGAAGCCCCTTAACAGTTTCTTTCCTTGTACATCGTAAAGAAAAAAAAAAATATATATATATATATATATGAAAAANACAAATTCCTTGGTATTCTTTTCCATGATATCCCAGTAGTAACCTGCTCTGATAATTTTCCGAATCAAAGACTCGGCGCCGGAGCGTTCTGGGTGCTTGATTGTCCTTGGGGACTTTATGGCAGTGCTTGCTTGAATATATATATATATATATATATATATATATATATTTTCGGGAATATTTTTTCGGTTATAAATTTTAAGTTTAGGATCCAAGTTCCCTTTCTTTTACTCAGAAATAACTTTTCTGCTTTGAGTTGTTAGCAAAATTTTGTTCATTTTTTAGTTCCACATCAACATGACTCCAAAGTAAAGAGAAAAGCTAACTTTTCGAGATGTTTAATGTTCCATGGATACTACAGTTTTTTTTCCTACCTTTTCCTCATCAATATGTTTGTCGACTTTGTAAATTTATTAGACTTATACTTTTCTATGTAAGTTATTATTGATTGATGGTTCCTATAGTTTCGCATGGTGATTTTGGATTTAGGCGTATGTCCGGATGCTAATTTGGAGATCCGTAGGTTGGTTTGAGGCTTCTTGACGAAAGTTGGAAAGTTGAAGGTTTAGAAGATTGAGAGGTTTGACCGAGAGTTGGCTTTGTTGATATTGGGTTCGGATTTTGGTTTCGGGAGATGGAGTAGGTCCATTGCGTTATTATGAATTAGCGTGCAAAATAGAGGTTATTCGGAGTTCATTTAGTATGGTTCGGTATTACCTTTAGAAGTTGGAAGTTCATTAGTTTTCTTAGGCTTGAATTGGTGCGCGATTCGTGATTTTTGTGTTGTTTGATGTGATTTGATGTTTCAAGCGAGTTTGTATTGTATTATATGACTTGTCGGTGCGTTTGGATGGGAACCCGGGGGCCTCGGGTGTGATTCGGGTGGTTGGCAGATCATTTTTGGAACTTGAAAGATTGCTGAACTGCTGAAGTCTGGTGCTTTCACACCTGCGATATTTGGGCCGCATTTGCGACGTCGCAGAAACGACTGTATGGTCGCAGGTGCGACACCACATAAGCGGTTGTATCGTCCTAGGTGTGAAGTTTGGCTTGGTGAACTGGGTCCGCAGGTTTGGACAAGAGCACACAGGTGCTAATTGCAGAAGCGGGCAATGCTCCGCAGAAGAGGAATTGGGACTGTTGGCGTGGGATCGCAGGTGCGGTGACTTTTGCACAGAAGCAGGAGCGCATATGTGCCCCTATTCCTGTAAAAGTGGAAGTCCTGGGCTTTTAGTGGAAGCCGCATCTGTGATGAATTTTTCATAGATACGGAGTTGCAAATGCGATAGTGAGCCTGCATGTGCGAAATGCCTTGGCAAAAATAGGTTGGATCGAGATTTATTTCATTTCCCACTTTTTGAGTGAGAGAGCTCGGTTTTGGGTGATATTGGAGGGTATTTTCAATGTTTGGATCGGGTAAGTATTTTTTACTCCGATTTGTTCATTTTTCATGAATCCATCTTTGTTTTTATCATCTAGTTAGTGATTTGAATTGGACAAATTGAGAATTTTTGTAAATACTTTCTTAAACTATAAATTAAGGATTTGAAGGTTGATTTGAGTTTGGAATTAGATAATTTTTTGTATGGTTGAACTCGTATTGGAATGGGTGTTCAGAATTTGTAAGTTTGGTCGGGTTCTAAGGTGCGGGCGCTGGGTTGACTTTTTGATTTCCATTAAAGATTGAAACTTTATCATCCGGAATTGCTTCCTATGGCTTGTATTTATTGTATTAAGTTATTTTGTCTAGATTCGAGCCGCCTAAAGTTGGATTTGCGCGAGAAGGGCTTATTAGTGGATTGATTTAACTTGTTTGAGGTAAGTATCATATCCAACTCTGTGTGGGGGAAACTACCCCTTAGGATTTGGGTTATTGTGTTATTTGAATTATGTGAAAGACATATACATGAGGTGACGAGTGTGTACACGGGCTTATATATGGTATTTTGACAAGTTTAGACTTTTAGGCTTCTTCCATGCATTTAATTGAAGTTGTCATAATATGTTCTATCCTCCATTGTTAAATTTACTCTTATATGCTTTAGTTGAAATTGTTACCTCTCTTATTGTCTTGTTATATCTTTTATTGTTGAATTATTCTTATTGGAAGTCATTTCGTGGGAATACCTTCATTTTGAGTTATTGACGTTGAAGTTGTGAAAACTATTAACACATTGAGACTGAAGTTGTTGATTATTAAGATATCTTTCCTCGTCTCATTCATTCTGCCATTATTGAGATTATTGTTCACATTGTGATTGAGCCGTGGGCTATGTTGTGGCATACCACATGTGGTGCTAGTTGATTATCGTATTGCGATATTAATACACTTGCGGTGGTATAAGGATAGGGGCTAATATGCATGAAGTGAGATAAGGTAGGATCATACATGTGTTGCTAGTAAGGGAATTACTTGAAGCCACGCGGTGAGATGAGGGAGCTAAAACGCATGTAGCTATTTCGAAAAAAAAATATTTTCAAAATAAATACAAGGCTCACGTGGTGATATAAGGAAGATTATTGTGTGACTTTTGAAATGAGATTGTAAGGTGTGGTACCTTGATTGTGATTCTTGTTGTACGTTCTATGTTAAAAGGGCTTGTTGGTTAAATAGTTTTTGTTACCACTTCATTTCTCTTACTTGTAATTCTCCATATTTGATTACTTGTTGTTCTTATCATGTGCTGACCCTTGTTGCGTTTATTGACTTAAATTGTGTTAATAGCCTATATTATTGTACTGCTTTGTTGTCATTC